GGGCCTGGTACTCCCGGAAAACCCCCCACAGGACCCCCCGAGGGACACAGGTTTTTGTCTTAAGTGTGGTGATAGAGGATAATTGTTAGTTCCCAGCTGCAAAGTAGCCACCAGATGTCAGCAGTGGTGAAATACGGTCCCCTTAAGTAAAATGTTATCATAACTGACTAAAAGTCACTAATCAATCTAAAAATATTGGTTCATGATCAGATTTAGTCTTTGCACCTTTTTGAAATATCTTGAGGTAAAGAATAGGATTACTATGGATAACAGCCCTGCTGTTCTTAACCAGAAAGCCCAAAGACAACTTCCTGTCAGGCAGAGAACTGAAAGATCCAGTATTTAAGGTGGACAAAGTTAGATTTCTCAAAAAGTTTATTGACAACAGAATCAGAGTAAGCGGCATCAGCATCAAAGGCAGGGGCCTCTGGAGGTGGAGACAGCAGATTAGTGACCATGTCATTCTGGAAGAGAATGATAGAAAAATATATCTATGCTGCTGAAGAGAATTGAAGCGGTTTACTGCACAGCAATACCTTTAAATTTAAATAAGTCTTTTTTTTTTTTTTTATGAGTATTTTTTTTCCCCAATTCAGGAGGAAAGTGAGATATTTGATCCAATAGACCAAGACAATTTATATTTTAATTAAGAGGAAACAATTGCATTGTCTGATTTCAACTGCATATTATCTAATTATTTTTTTCAGTGTGAGCATCCTGAGGATGTGAGAGCTCAGTGATGATCAGTTTATCACGTCCAATAAGTTTTCCTATATATTTTTTTTTTTGTAGAAAAAGGTGCAGTTCGTGGTGTGAGCTGCAGAGAATCTTAGTTAAATATCAAGCAGCCAATTAAAACTTGGAAACACAGCTGACGGACCAATCCCAACCTGCTGATCACTCACTCAGGGACCTTTTTTAATTTGAATGAAGGGTTACACTCAGTTCAAACCAGGAACAAAAGGAAAGTTTTGGATGCAGAGGTCTGGAAAACCTTCAGCTGTGTGAGGAATTCCTGTGTTTTCTCCAGAGCAACGGATCACAGAGCGCCTGTGTTCCTTCTGTCTGCAGGAACTCAAAGGCCGCCTGGCATTGTGAAGCCGTGACCTTCAATAATCCAACGACAACAGAGAGGAGCGTCTCATTCAGGGCTGGGAGAACTCGGTCCTTCTGTGGGCGTTCAGCTGCTCGCCGTCGCTGAATCATCTCCTCCTTCCGAATGAAATACGGCGTCCAGGATCCAACAGAAAAAAAAGCTTCATCAGCAAAAACTATTCCAGAACCCTGAATGTTAATGAAATGAAAACAAATAAATGTTTTTTGAATGAAGTTATTGAAACATGACAGGAAGTAATTCCCCAATATTATGTCTATCAGCAAATGGATTCAGTTTTAACACAAAGTTCCATTCTTCTCATTAAACTACAAAAATAAACTGTGTGAATCTGTAATAGTTCAGACAACCGATCTTCTAAAAATGCCGGTTCTTCTTCTCTGACATCAACGGATTAAAAAATAAAGGTAGATCTTTAAGAGTAAAAGAAAATTACATTTTATTGAAACCACAGCAACAAAACATAAAAATATATCAGCAAAAAGATGCTGTAAAATAAACCAAACGTGATCCAGAGATACTGGATTTGGCTCCAGTCCAGTGATGCTAAACTTGAGTTAGTTTTCATTTCATACAGAACTGAGATCAGAACATTTCTAGATGTGTTCAGGTAGAAAACAGATGGAAAATATCACAAAAAACAAACTATAAAATCTACAATCTGAAACAGAAGTTCATCTACGCTAGTTTTCAAAGTCAAACCACACTGGAAAAACGATAAAGTAATCAGTAAAAATGTATTAAATTAAGTGTAATTACCCTTAATTTGAGCAGGTAAATGCGATAGTTTACCAATGCAATGAATATTTCTACTCTTAAAATAAGATATTTAGATAAAATGCATTTAAAATAAGACAATTCAATTGTGTTTTCTTGTTTTAAACATAAATCGTCTTGTTCCATTGGCAAAATGTCTCTTTTACCTACTAAATCGAAGAACAGATTCACTTATTTCAAGAAAAAAAATCATTTATCTAGATTTAGATTTTGTCCAGTGCAGCCACTGCTCTACAAAACCTTTAATTCACCCGGATCAAACAGGAAAAACTATAATTAAAGAAATCACATGCCTCCAGCATTAATATGAGTTTTAAATTTTTTGAATTTTGATTTCAGAACTTCTGGCCTTAACCAGAAAACCAGCGGTAAAATTAGACCTCGGCTAATGTTTTCAGATGGCGCTGAAGGTTCTAGAACCGTTTCTGGAGCCTTTCTTCTGCCTGTGTTTATAAAACCTACAGAAAGGAGTCAAGAACCCGACTCTGAGAGAGAAGTCGCCCTTGATAACGACTCTGGACCTTCTGAGCGATTCTGATTGGTTGAATAGTTTCTGTTTGGGTTCATTTTAAGTTCTGCAGGGAGTGAGGACACAGAACCGGGTCAGTCCAGCAGAACATCAAGGTACCAGATGATGAGAGGAAACCCAGAAACTGAGCAGGTTTACAGGCTGCTGATGCTGAGTGAGGAACCATTTCCAGCAACTTTAGTCATTTAAAAGCTGCTGATGTTAAAGTTCAGAAGTTTATTTTTATGAAGCAGGGAGCGACTGATCGCCACAAATCATCACTTTATAATCCTGATTTAAAATCTGATATAATTAAACAATTTTTTCTCAGTTTTAACTTTGGTTTTCACTGGTGTGAAACAAACCAGCAGAAGTGCTGGATGGGTTTTTGTCTCATCCTGCAGCTTCCTGCTGGAGGAGAACCGTCAGCTGAACAAATTTACAGGATTAACATCTGGAAATAATCTCACCGGTCATTTATGGGTTCTAATAAGTACTAACCGTAGAACCTGTAAGGTTCCTGGACATAAAGGTTTGGAACAATAGAGGTTTTCACAATTGTCAGGACAACAAAATAACACAAAACATCAATAAGTTCTTTAAAACAGGGATGTGTGGAGCAGTTCCAAGCAGTCAGTATCTTTCTTTGATCAAGCCAACAGCTTTTAAGGTTCTAATCTGCATTTTAAAGCCTTTTAAAGTCAGCTGTAGACAAAAGATATGATGAAATAATGATTTTAAAAGCCTTTTGCTTTATGAAGTATTAACTTTTTAGGAAATATGAGATATTTTGTTACTTTTTATTAAGCCACTTTTCCACAGTTTTTTTAAACCAGGTTGACCCGCTAACAAGCAGCCTTTGGCTCTTTTCCCATTTGACCGAAAAGCCGGGCTCATCCCCCTGCTGGCAAGCTGCGCGGCTGCTGTCCACCACCGCTGCGTGTCTGATCATGGCGTCACGCTGGGCGAGCGTTGATGATGTGGACAGTGTAACGCAATTCTCTTAAGTAAATGGATGGGCAACATGGACGGGCGCTAGAGTCAGTATTCTTTATTACTGTGCTCTGTTGTCTGTTCTCAGAATAATGCAAACGAATCTCTTCTCCGGAGATAATAATGAGCCCATCTCGCCAGTGCTGTGCCATGTTTCTCAGGTTGTTTGGACTTCTTACTTAACATGCGGCGGGCGCGAAATTGTCACCTATATATTGCGCTCAAAGTCATCACCTAATTTTGTGTGTTCACGCTGATCAGACCTGAGGTGATTTTAACACAGGTGGCTTGCTGAGTCTTTTGACCCAAGTAGACACGCATCACTGAACTGTTCCCACTGCCACTAAAATAGTGTTGCGCCGATGCCATTTTTTGGCCCCGATACCGATACCCGATACCTGGCTGTGCAGTATCGGCCGATAGCGATACCATAATAATGTAAAATAATTGCCATCATGGCTTTGTCAAGCTGCTGCCTACCTTTGTGAAGCAGGAAAAAATTTAATTCAAAGTGAATCCAGTAGAACTTTTAATTGCCTACCTGGAGTGGGTGACTCTCAAAATGTTATCGGTGCCCTATTTGTTGGTACTCACCGATACCGATACCACCATTTTAGGGCAGTATCGGGGCCCCATCGGATACTGGTATCGGTGCAACACTACACTAAAAGCTGATTGTTCCCGGGTTTAAACTGGTTGTTCGGCCAGTGGGAAAGTGGTAAAAGTTGTGTTTGTCTTGAAAAGAATGGCATTTCATGAAGTTCCAAAACAACTGCCAAAGTCTAAGAGATCCGCCCCATTAGCTAAAACAGAAAAGTTGCTACTATGTGCAGATTAGTCACCGTCTTTGTCTAACTTTGAGCTGGAATCATCTTGCTCCGCCTCATATAACCTCTGTCTGATCAGACAAAGTGGGCGTTTGTTAACAGTTCAGGCGCAGCGCAGTCAAAGCCTGGTTTATGCTCAGAAAACAGTCACCTGCAGGTGTGTCGCAGTTAACGCAGATACCCCCCCCCCCCCCCCCCCGCAGACACTCTGGTGCACCTCCCTAAAAATTGTAGGTGACTGCAGACAGGAGGCATCTGATTGGTCAATTCAACACAATTCAACACATGCTCTACTCTATGCGTGCTTCCTGTTTGGTTCCTGCCATCGTGGAAAACGACTCGTGAAGATGGACCAGCTAGAAGAGCGAGTCTGCGAAGAAATGAGAAAGTACCCACATCTGTGCGACTCTCGTTCTCCACACCACAAGAGCAGCAAATATTCAAGCAATTCATGGGGGGAGATAGCGATGAATGTGGGTCTAGATACGGTCGAGGCGGTGAGGAAGTGGAAAGATGCAAGCGACAAGTTTGTGCAACAATGGAGGGACATGAGGGCGAAAGTAAGCTGGGATCCAGGAGGAAAAAGGTTCCCTGCGTTCTATATCTTCATGTCCTGGCAGGAACCCTTCGCTAAACATCGACAAAAGGTGTTCTACGCTGTTGTTGCACTACTTTGTTGCAGTAGTTTGTTTACATTACCTGCACTGTTGAATATTTTTTTATATGTATGCAATCAAATTTTCTATTTGCATTCTCAATATCATTGTTTTTTGTTTTTTTCCACCTTGGTGTGAATCTATTTAGAAATAAAACCTAAGCTTTATGGACACAATGTATCTTTTTTATTATTCTAACTACATAAATTAATAACATGCCACACCCACAATCCCAGCTAGTTCGTGTCCCTCTTGTGTGGAATAGCATAGCGCAGACCAGGCCGCTTCAAAATTGGGCATAAATCTAGAATATCTGCGTCATACCTGCGACACGCTAACTGGGACACACTGCTGCAGGAGGATAACCAGCCTTTAATGCAGCTGCTCCCTGAGGGGGCGGGTTTACACGGTCCTACCGGGGTCAAGATGGACTGTGGTTTTTACAGGAAGGAGGAGGCTGCTGCTCAGAATTCATCCGCATAAACTCTAAAAGCATCAATCACATCAAATTCCACTTTGTGTCTGATTTTGATGAAGAAACAGCATCATAACAAATGTAAATGCTTTATGTCTCCATCTCACAGACCAAACTTTCAGCTTTCAGTTTCTCTTTTTTTACTTTAACCTGAGATAATTTTTTTTATTTATTTTTTCTTTCCTATCTGCATAAGACGCTGATGATCAGTAACTACTCCACACAACCTTGAAGTAGAAAAAACAAGCTGTCCCTTTAAAGTCCTGGGCTCAGCAGGGCGTCCCGATGGCTGCAGAGTCTTTCTCCGCCTCACAGACGGCTGGCTCTGCAGCCAACATGCTCTTCATCACTTCCTCTTTGCCAGAGGGGGACAGGGAGGAAGGTGTGGGTGAGGTGGGGGAGGACAGGGTGGAGGTGGGTGCGGTGGATGCAGAAGAAGAGGAAGAGTTGTTGTCAGGGAGGCACTCTTCGCAGCAGCAGCAGCAGCAGTCGATGAAGGCCTGGCCCAGCGAGCGGCAGAGGCACAGCAGCAGAACCGGCGTCGCTGAGCAGCGAATGAAGAGCAGGAACTGTTCCACCAGAGCCAGCGCCGGCAGAACCAGAACCGGAGCCGAAAAATAGGCCAAGACGATGTTACACACGCTCTGAGGCAGGTTACAGGCGACGTAGAGGCCGGTGAGCGCCATGACGGCGGTCCGCAGCCTCTGCTCCCTCACATGCTGCTTCTTCTTCACCGAGGAGGAGGAGGATGAAGAGGAGGAGGAGCATCTGCCTCTCATCTTCTCATTGATTGGTTCCTGTAGTTCCCGCTGAGCTAACACCCGCCTGGTCACCAGGTCACAGGCCAGGGTGAAGAGCAGCGGCAGGCAGATGTAGCAGCCGAGGATCCACCACATCCGGGCCTCATGGTAGGTCAGAACCAGAGCGAAGACGCTCTCTGGGAGCGCCGCCGACGGCTCACGGACACAAACGTCCACTTTAAACCTGTCGGTCTGAGCTCTGAGGGACGCCATCAGGGAGGCGGCGGGTTGGCGCTGCTGGGGGTCGGAGGTCAGCGCCGGCACGCTGACAGTTTCCTGAACCAGCTGCCACAGCAGCAGCTCAGGGGCCCCCAGAACCATGGAGCCCACCCAGATCACACCCACCTTGGACAGGATGGAGCGGCATGGCTCCACCTTTGGCGTGTGGTGGGGGCCGGGAGAGGTGGCGGCGTGGAAACGGTCGATGCTCAGGGCGCAGAGGCTGAAGGTGGCCACGCCCAGAGAGGTCACCTGACAGAGAGAGAGAGAG